AACAAATGTGATGGACTCCTTTCAAATATGAGTTAATGTCTCACGAAGAGTAAATATCAAGCTTTAACTTTAGGGTCCAGTCCAGCTCAGATCAGTTCCACCTTTCCAGTGAAAAACGGTGGCGGCACAGACTGGGGGGTCCAGTCAGGATTGGAGAGACGGTGAACAGTCAAAGAAGGAAAGATCCTGGAAGAGAACCTGCTCCAGAATGACTTGGATGATAATTCAGCTTTGAGCAAGACATTCAAGTAAACAGCCAAGAAAATGTTCAAGGAGTAAAGTCATGAGAAGTCGGCAAGTGGCCAAGCCAAAGTCCAGATGTTGCATTCAGTGTAATGGAGCAGACAAACCTGGTAAACAGGAGCACCTAACTATGCCTGAGCCTCCACACAGTCCAATAATCATGACCACTTATGGCAGTGACTGGCCAGGTGTGCACACACAATAATAATTTTGAGGAGTCTGAAAGTGTGCAGGTTCTTGCAGAGAGCTTGGGGAGGCGGTGCAATGACAGAGGGAGACTAGCGGCTTGCGTTCTGTCATGCTATTTGAAAAGGGTATGAATGTTTTTGCCTTCAGAACTGGTTGGATGACGATGTCATGCGTCATATTTGTTTGAAGCAAACTGAGATCCCACTTTGCCTTGACTTAATTTTCAAGCTGACATGTTTTCCAGCACTTAAAAAAGACCTGGAATCCTGTTGTCAGGTGTCGAACTCTGATAACTTGGTCAAGTCAGTTGTGAGTCTACTGCACCATTCTGAACTTCTCTCTCTCTCTGCTTCATGACAGCTCTGCAATGAGCAATGGAGGTCTTCAGGAGGGGGATTAGTTAAGAGGGTGGGGGGGGTTTAAGGTCACGCCTCTGGCCTAAAAAGGCAAAGCAGAATGCCAGCAGCAGCGAGCAGCTCTAAGAATAACTCAGGCATGAGGCTCAGAAACATGGTGTGAATGTGACCGTACTTAATTCAGACTTTTATAGCTGATAGTCGAAAAGTTTTTAAACTAACAAATAAACAAGGATTTTGTGTTTAAGGTAAAATGATTTGCACTTTAGTGCACTGTGTGACCCCCGTCTCCACTGTGATCATGATTCCAGTAGCAACACTGGCTTGTGGGATAGAATTACCTTGACGCGCTTTCTCTGCCAGTCTCTCTTCCCTCTTTCTCTTCCATCGTTCATCAGTCGCCGTGGTCTAAATCTGTCAGAGACAGTTGGGGGGAGGGGGGGCTGCTCTAACTGCAACCCCAGCCCAACCAGGCAAAGGGCAAAGACACCAACCACCTCAGCTTGGTCTCTGTCTGTCTCCCCAGCCTCATCCACTGGGACAGAAGTCAACTCTCTGAGCCACCTTCCAGTCACCTGGACCCACCATGGGATTTTGACTTCTGGAACAAGAAAGGAAAGTGTAGATTTAAGTCCTGAGAATGGAAAAAGCAGAGTAATGTTACCAGTGGCGGCCACAGAGTTTGGATTTTCCATACACCCTCAGCACTCACATGATGCCACTGGACTGGAATTAACCGGGATTAAACTGTGCAGGAGTTGACGATCTACCATTAGCATTTCTTTTCATGACAGTATAATCTGCACCAAGGATTAATTGAACTTTGATTTTGAAACAATGATGGAAGCAGCTGAAGGTAAAGCCTGATCACATTCAGTATTAATCTTGTTAGGTAAAGAAGCCTCTTCCAGGGCTCTGTCTGTTTTGTTTTGCACACGTTCCCTCTGATGTTGTGCTGCCTGGTGTGTAGGGGAATCTCATGATTGGAAGTCGCTAAAAATATGCTGCTATCATGTCGCTGCTATTTGTAATGCAGCTTTGAGACCCTCTGACATCTGCAGTGCTGCACAGGACAAGGAGCATCAACACTGTGCCTCCTGTTGCATGTAACTATATCAACTGATACTGTTGTGACGCCATTTTAACAGTTTTTGTCCATGGATCATGACGTTAAAAGAAAGAAGGGCCTGCAGGCAGAGAGCAGCTGCGGACTCTATTAAAGACTTTACATTTGTTATCTGTAGGACTCATGAAAATCACAACTAAACTATACACTATGGTGCACCTGTGCAGGTGTTCACACTGATTTTGGCTGATTGGAGGTCTTGCATCTGAGCATGTGCAGACGGTTTTTGATTGATGGCCCTGTGATTCTCTAGTTTGTTTGGATACATGGGCCTTTTTTTTTACAAAAGACATTCTGATGCATCACAGTAGGAAAAGCATCACATTCATACAACTTTTCACACTACAACTGCTGTAGTTTTGAGATTAAAAATCATGTTTGACAAAATAATCTTAACATAAAGTCCACTGAGACAAGCTTCTCTAGAGTTACTGGTCACATCGTTTTAATCAGTGGATGGAGCTGGTGATGACAACTGAGCAAAGGCCATTCACTGATGAAGACTGTGGCAAAAAGCTGAATGTATTTTTCATGACACTATTTACAAGGTCAAGAATGAAACTTTCAAGGTCAAAAACTATGTGTTGTTCTTTATTGTTAAATAAATCTTAATCCCAGTACCAATGTAGGGATTCTGTTACCTCAGGAAATCCAGCTGTTGCCCCAAATACTTCAGAATTATTATTTTTTTTAATTCTCACTGACTGCAAGTAAACAAATGGTAATAAGAGGCCTCCTTACTTTACCATCTTGTGCTGCTGCTGTTTATCCTCAGGGATGTCTCCTCCTTCTTACATGGTCATGTGGAAGCGTGAATCACTTGTTAAAGATAACTTTATTGAGTAGTTATTGCAGTGTATTGTCCTTCTTACATGGTGATGTGGAAGCGTGGATCACTTGTTAAAGATAACGTTATTGAGTAGTTATTGCAGTGTATTGTACTCACTTTTGCCCAGTTCCAGGTGTTTTTGTATGTTGACAAATTGTTGTTTAATTGTTGCTAGGATCTGTGATACCATCTTATTTCTGTATCATGGTATTTAATATTTAGGATGAGGTGCCTGCACTTTGTATTTACAGTGACCTGCTATCCATTTATTAATTATTGCATCCCAAACTGTAATTGGACAGTCTGCTGTCACCACTAGCATGACAAGACTCTCATGGAGACAGCAGCAACATGCTCCATCAGCTGGATCATAAAGGTTTCCATCACACTTTGCTAGGCTCTGTGCACTCATTAAGGAAATCTTCTGACTACACTTCCCTGTATTCTGACTGATTAGGCGCCCACTGGCACCTAATGACTGCACTGGACTGAGATGTAATGGACAGCCAGTAAGGACAACAACAGAAATGTGGAGACAGGTCAGCCTTAAAAGGAGGAATGGTTCATGGATGGTTGTTCAAACCATTTAGAGTTAGGCTTAGAAGGTGGTGATCAACAGAGGCATCAAATGAAGGGGAAGGAGAGATTTATAGCAGAATGTAAATCCTCATCATTTTTAAGGCATAAATATGCTGAGTAAAATGTCAGGACAGTTTGGACATAATAGTTTTTGTGCACAAACAAAAATTTTTGCATGATGGTGTAACCTGTGA